GGTGTGAGTTGTAATGTTTCCCTTCTTATATCTGATATTACCTATTTGAGTCTTGTCCTCATTCTAGCAAGGCTTTTCTCTTTTTTTTGGGGGGGGGGTCAATTTTGCTTCTTTTCTAAGAATCAACTCATCATTATGTTGATTTTGCATGGTTTTTAATAGGCATTTGATTTGTCTTTGCTTTATTATTCCTTTTATTAATTTTGCTTTGGAATTGTTCTTGTTCCTAGTTTCTTAAGGCACAGCAATACTTGCTTATTTGAGATCTTTCATTTTTCAATTTTGTTTGTTATAAATTTCCCCTGAATTCTCTTTTGGGGCTTGGTGTACTAAAGTTTCTATTCTAAACTGCTTCAGCAGTCTTTGTAACGAAATGAAAATTTCCTTCTTAGTTTTCTTTCAAAGATTTATTTTATTTAACTTTACAATAAGAAGTGATTTATTTCCATTCTTTTTGGAGCAGTTACTACCCTTATACCAGATAAAAAGATTACAAGAAAACTGCAAGTCAGGGATGCAAACGTCTTCAACAGAATGTTATGAAGCCAATCTTATAAATAGTTTAATATGCTGTGACCAGATACAAATAAGACTGACATAAATATGGCTACTTCTGCTTTGTATTTGATTCCGTTTGCTTCTAGTATTTTATTCTACCCTTTCACTTTTTCAGTCTGTGTTTTGGAAGAGGAATGAGGTTTCTTGCAAGCAGCATGTGTTTAGGTTCCATCATGTCTTGGGCTAGATTTGTTTGAGTCACATCTGCCCGATGACTAACTTCCTTGTGCCTGAATAGTTGTACCTGCCTTCCCTTAAGGAGGTTTCCTGATGTGTTTTTGAGTGAGCTTGGTATATTTACAGGTCTTTGTTGGATGTCAGTGGTTTGCATGTTTGTTCTTTTAATCTCCTCTCAAAGTTAAAAGCTGTCTTCATAACTCTTGAATATTATATGTTTTTTTAAATAAAAACTTTCCCACAAAGAAAATTAGCATTCATTGTTATATTTTAATAAACATTTGAAGCAGAAATAATACCGATTCTATAAATCTCTTCCAAACTTTACAATAATAAGTGATATATCTTCATTCCTTTTTTGGGCATTTATTACCCTTACATCCATACCAGATAAAAAGATTACAAGAAAACTACCACCCTGGGTCCCTTTTGGATAGGAATGCAAGCATCTTCAACAGAATGTAAGGAAGCCAATCTTTTAAATAGGATAATATGCCATGACCAGATTGGATTTATCTCAGTGATAGAAAAATGATTTGATCTGATCTCAGTGATTAGAAAAATCAGTTGGTTTCAGTGTTCTTTGATTGTTTCCATAAATTCAGAACAAGGTTTGACAACATACATTACCTATTCCAGATAACTATCAAACAAAGTGTAAAAAGGAATGCCCCTAGAAAAAGGGCAGGTAAAAATTCTGTAGTTAATACCATACTTAATGCAAAACAAATAAAAACAAAACAAAACAAAAAGCAATTGAGTGCTTTTCTCCTAAGCTTGAACTTCAGTCTGCTATATTTGCAATCATACTGGAGTTACTGAACAATAAGTAATGTAGTGTAAAAGAAGACAAAGGCTGCAAATAGTAAAATAGACTATTCACAGGTGATATGATTGTTTTAATATCTGAAGAAATCTTCAGCAAGTCACCGGCGTGATAGCCTAGTTGCTAATGGCCTCACCTTGTATGTGCCAGGATCCCGTATGGGCGCCAGTTCTAATTCTAGTGACCCCCACATCCCATCCAGGACTCTGCACCCTCATGGGAGACCCGGGAGAAGCTCCTGGCTCCTGGCTTCAGATGGGCTCAGCACCGGCTGTTGTGGCCACTTCAGGTGTGAATCAGCGGATGTATCTTTCTCTGTGTATCCCCTTCTCTCTATATATATGCCTTTCTAATAAGAATAAATAAATCTTTAAAAAGTTATAAAGGTATGGTAATCAAGGCATTGTTTTATTTTCATAGAAACACATTTGAATCAGTAGAACACTATGAAGAATAGAAATACACCCAACGGTATTTGGTCAACTGATTTTGACAACAGTTGGCACATTTAATTCAGTGAGGTAAAGAATGATTTTTTTTTTAACAGAAGATCCCGGAACTATCAGATAGACATCTGATACTTACTAAAGGATATCTTATATTTGAAAATGAATTCAACATGAATCAAAGCTCTAAATATGAGAGCTGGAATTATGTAATTTACACAACAATCATAGGATAACGCTTTTATAATGTTGTGTTGGGCAAAGATTTTTCAGAGTGCAAAGTCAAGAAAAATGGATATTGTGAAAAATTGAAACTTCATTAAGAAAATCAAAGACCATAGGTTGGGGGAACATACCAAAGATCCCTCTGGTAAAATTTTGTATCTGGAATGTTTTGAGAACTCTTATGCCTGAGTGAGTTGAAAATAAGCCACTCAGTTAAGCTAAACAAAAGATCAGGAAACTCAGCCAAATAAAGGGGCATATGATTGGCAAATAAGTACATATAAAGATTGTCAGTGTCATTAGTAATTAAGTGCAACTTGAAACAATATGAAGATATCACATATCGAGTAGATCTGCTAACAGTGCAGAAAATTGCAGTATTTAGTGCCAGCTAGTGTATGAAGAAACTGCAGTTTTCACACATTACTGGTCAAAATGGTACAACCAATTTGGGAAACTTTTTGGCAGTTACTTAAGAAGTTAAATATCTGCTTACACAGTAGTTCCACTTGGGTACTTAGCAAAGAGAAAGGAAACCTAAAGAGCAGTATAAAATTGGAACTAAGTAAAAAGTGCGTTAATTGGGCCCGGTGGTGTGGCCTAGTGGCTAAAGTCCTCACCCTGAATGCACCAGGATCCCATATGGGCGCTGGTTCTAATCCTGGCAGCTCCACTTCCCATCCAGCTCCCTGCTTGTGGTCTGGGAAAGCAACTGAGGATGGCCCAAGACCTTGGGACCCTATACCCGCCTGGGAGACCTGGAGAAGGCTCCTGGCTCCTGGCTTCGGATAGGCACAGCATTGGCTGTTGAGGTCTCTTGGGGCGTGAATCATTGGATGGAAGATATTCCTCTCCTCCACTATGTATATCTGACTTTGTAGTAAAAATAAATAAATCTTTTTTTTAAAAAAAGTGTGTTAATTGTGTATGGAGAAATAAATTTTAACTTTCCATGTGTTTGAATACTACTAGCAATAAAAGGGAATAAGCTACTAAATATGTAACAAATGGTTGTATTCCAGAATCTCTATACTCAGTGAAGCAAATCAGACACAAAAGTGGTACAAAATATAATTCAGTTCCTATGAAATTCCAGACAAGGCAAAGCCTTAATGATAGAAAGCAGATCAGTAGTTGAGTGGGGCCAGCGCACATTGGGAAAGAGATTATAAGGACATGCAGGGTGGTTGAAATATTTAATGTAATTATGATTATGGGTCTTTTAATAACTTTTTAAAGTTTTAAGTAAAGCACACAGCATGTTCAAAAACAGAGAATGTAACTGAGTCATCTCACCAGCCTGGAAAATAACTGACATTTTAAGAAGAGAGAGGTTATCTTTATTAAATTTGGGGAAGAGAATATAGAATTTACTCTTGAATTATAAACTTTGGAAGTGAGCACTTAGAGATTTAAAAATATTGGATATAAATGAATATAAGTTTGGTAATATCTCCATCTTCTGTCATATATGTTGGGTAATGTGCAACTACTTTTTAAAAAGATTTGCTTATTTGTACTTGAAGGTAAGAATAACAGAGAGAGGGGCAGATGCAGAAAGAAAGCGAGAGATCTTCCATTGTCATTTGATTTTTGGCTCCTCTTGAGGCATTTTAGTTTGTGTCCATGGTATTTTTCATTACATCTGTTAAGTTTTTGTTCCTGACATTAGCAGTTTGTTCTTAAAGTTCAATATGCTCTTAGATTTCTTCACTGAAGATATGCTTATTTTCAGTTCTTGCTTTGTGTATGCTATTCATTTTCCTGTGCTGTTGTTTATCTCTGCTGTTGGATTTGATGGGCCTCATTTTTGTGCTACCTTCCGTGTTAGTTTTTAGTTGACCAGTCATCTTTATATATGAGAATCTCTCCTCTCCTGCATAAGGTTAGGTGTGACATAGTCTGCTCCTGCAGTTTGTGTGGGTTATACCTACCGGAACACAGTGGCCTTTCTCTCTGCACTCAGCTGCCTGTCCCCTAAATGAACGTCACACTCGGGTTTCCTCCTCTTCCTCCCTGTAGGTACGTGACACAGATACTTGTGGCTTTTCCAGATCCACCCTTTGCTCAGGGGATCTTTTCATGTGGACTCTAGTTTCTCTGTTGGTTGAATTGGTCTAATCTTAACAAATTTTCTTAACATCAAGGAGTTTCTCAGAAGATTTATTTTACTGTCAAAAAATAGTCCTTTTTTATTTCTTACCTTGTTTTTTTTTCTAGTAAAATTATCGCTAATTATCATTAATTTCATATCATTGGGATCGGAAGAGTAGATACAGATATGTGCCTAGTCTGCCCTTTGTTTTAAGCTGAAGTGTAGTGTTTAGCAGTATTGTGGCGATACTTTTGTACTAATTGCAGGATAATCTTACAGCTGTGAAACATATCAGAGAGCAGGTAAGTTTCCTATATTTTGCATGCTGTGACTCTTGTAACAATTCCTCAGTATCTCTTAATTAGGTCAGAGTTTGGATCATTCTGCCAATGAAGAAAATAGTAATTGAGAGTTGAGTGATTAATTCATTTCTAAAGAGCCTGTCAATGCTTTTCCCCAAATTAGTTACTAATTCTGAGGTTGTTTTTAGGGTTTACTGATCTCAGTCTGGTGCTGTGGACTATGCAAATGTTCCTCAAATGTTCTAAAATGGACTCACTTTGTCCAAATGACAGAATAAAAACTCAGTCATCTCCCTAATTTAACATTGATCATACTGTTTGTAAAACTGTGCCTTGATGAAAATGTGTTATTGTGTCTTCTTTTTTTTTAGGGTGATGCTGTTAAAAACAATCTTCAGAATATTAAAGAAAATGAAAGTGGTGATGTAAATGCTACTGACACGAATAACCAAGGGAATAGCATGCGAGTCAGTAAGACCAAACTGAGAAATATTCAGTGTGCAGCTGAAAACCCAAATGATGGTGTCAGTGTAGAGGAAGACAAGCAAAGGAAGCCAAGCAGAAGGGTTGGAAAGGCAGCGCCCCAGGTGCCCGCTCAGGACATGGAGCCAGAGACTCCTGAGAAGGCGGGCTCTGCCCATCAGAAAGCACGAGCGAAGCCTCAGCCTGGCGTTGGCCATCAGAAAAGTGAGAAAACACGTGAGGGACTGGAGAATGATGATTTGGATGAGGAAGAACTGATGCAAGCATATCAGCTTCAAGTAGCTGAGGAAATGGCCAAGGAGATTAAGAAGAAAATAAAAAAGAAACTGAAAGAACAGCTGACTTACTTTCCCTCTGATACTGTATTGCATGATGACAAGTTGAGCAGTGAGAAAAGAAAAAAGAAAAAAAAGAAAGTTCCAGTTCTGTCTAAAGCTGAAACAAGGTACTTTACGTTGATAGAATTCATCTTCTTAAGAAAACTAGGATTTTCAGCTGAAAAGTGATACTTGTCATTTAGCAAAGAACATTGTTAGTCCGTTTTTAGAAAACATTTCACTAAGATAGTAAAAAACCAACCGTTGAAGTTGCACCTCACTATATATTTGATGATTTACAAGATTTGAATCATTTTTTGCTAGAAGGGAAAATAGTAGTGTTGTTTGCTTTGCTGATGAGGTGACTAGAGCTTAAGTCCTAGAACTAGTAAGAGACTAGACTGCTAACCCAGTACCTTGGTAAGCGGAGCTCTGGCCTCTACCCTTAACTACACACTTCTGTTTGTTTAAAAACAGCAGAAACTTGATTAGGTCTCCTTTTTGAGTTACAGATGGCTATTTGGATATTTATAGTATTTTCCCCGTATTCAGATAGCATGGTTATAGTAGCAACAACCATCCAAAGCTAACCAGTGTAACAGTTTGATAGTCTAGTCTTTTTCTATATGTGCTACTTATACTTCTATACTTACATATATAATATGAATTTATATTTATGTTTGCAGATTCTCTCCTTGGAGAAAACATCAAATGAAATATGTCTTTTAACTTCTATAATAACTCCTCTCCTCCCACCCCCCACCCCACCCCCCCGCCGTAATCCTTATGTAGAAAAACAGCTTGAGATGGAACCAATTTACATATAACATTCCTTGGCATAACAAGAAAATTATCCCTGAAGCCTTTGGTTAAAAATATTTGCCCTCTGAGCAAAAAGTAGATCAGTAGTAATAGAAAGTAAGTCTGGTTGCTATAGGGACATGTTAGTGTTTATATTAGTTTTGTGTTGCTGCATTTAAAAAGTACTACAGAATCTAGCAGCTCAGAACAACAAACATTGGTCTTTCTATGGGTCAGGAATCAGAATCACTAGATGGGGTGCCTCTGACCCTCAATGGATCTCACCCTGGGAATCAGGATGTTGGCCAGGGCCGAAGTCATCTCCAGGCTTCAAAGGAGAGATTCTGCCAAGTGACACAGCTACGAAGGCATTGCACACAGTTCTAAGCTCATTTACATGGCGGTTGGAAGGGCCCTGATTCTAATCTGCTTTTTTTCCAGATAGCATTTCCTTTCTACGTGAACTTTCTGCTGTGGACTAAGCATAACATAGCTGCCTGCTTCCCTACTGAGACAGTGAGAGCAACTCAGAAACCAGTCTTTTTTCTTTTTTTTTTTTTAGAAACCAGTGTTTTTTTGAGACCCAATCTTAGAAAAAGTGACACTTGTTACATTTGCCGTATTCTGTCAATTGGAAGTGGGTCATTAGACCTTGGAGAGGAGCATGCAAAAACATGAGGATCAAGGCGCCCATCTTAGGGCCTTCAGCCACATCTGTAGCTTCTTCTCTCCCCTTCAGTCTCTCAAGCATATGAGTAAATACATAAAAAGCCGTTTTTTCCATCTATGGTTTACCTGGCAGCAGAATGAGGCTGCTTTGCTCAGTCCTACAGAAGGCTCCATTGTGTGTAAAATAGGATTTTCTCTTGGGTTTTGACCTCAGTTCTTGAGTTGCTTCATAGGCTTGTAACTCCTTAACAAGAATGAAATAGTGCCTAGGTACTCAGTTTAGTAATAATTTTAGTGTCTAATAAAACATTATATACATTTCCCAGCAGAAGATCCTGCTGATTTTTAGGTCATCTTTGCTTCTGTGTACTGATCACTCTGTAAAATGAATAATAACTAGTGTAGTAATACATTTGGGATGTTTCTTCCTTGGGTTCTATTTGCAGTTCACTGACTGACTGTAATGACCCAGATGAAGGCAAACAAAAGAAAGGATCTCCAGTTGGAGCGGTGACTTCTAAGTCTCATCAAGCTGATGACATAAGCTCAGCCGAACATGATGCAGAAGACAGCATGCAAGAAAACACCAAACCTAAACCCAAAAAGACAAAAAAGAAGGTTAAAGCAGGTCTGTTATTGAAAATAAATGAAAAAAATTCAGTGCCTCAAGAGAAACTTAATTCTAGAAATCTTAGACCTTAAGGTTGAAATTAGAGTATCTAATGGAGAAAATTCCAATATAGAACGTTGAGCACTTGTTCTTGCATTTGTGTAGATTAAAGCATTCATTCGTTTGTAGCTCTTATTCTGTGAGGAGTTGTATTAAGTCATATTTTTTTTTTAAGATTTATTTATTTTTATCGGAAAGACAGGAATGCAGAGAGGAGGAGGGGAGACAGAGGGAAAGATCTTCCATCTACTGGTTCACTCCCCAAGGGTTGCAGTGGGCCGGAACTGAACTAATCCAAAGCCAGGAGCCTGGACCTTCTTCCAGGTCTCCCACATAGACGCAGGGTCCCAAGGCTTTGGGCCATCCTCGACTGCTTTTGCAGGCGACAGGCAGAGAGCGTGATGCAAAGTGGGAAACCAGCACCCATATGGGATTTCAGCCAATGCGAGGCAAGAATTTTAGCCACTAGGCTACTGTGCCAAGCTCATATTAAGTTATTTCTAATTCTTGACTTAATTTATAATGCAGTTGACTTTGTTGTTGCTGTTGTGGCATATACAATTTTTTCTTTAAACAGTCGAGTTCAGAACCATAAATATGTAAGTCATGGTCATTGAAAGCCACTATGTCAACAGCCAGTAAACATTTCAGATGCTCAGGTTACATCCTTCTGGTAACATATCTTTACAATTCAATTCCTTAACCAAATTCCGTTTCTCCTTTGTTAGCTTTCCTTTTTGCTTCTTGCTTTCTTTCCTATTTCTTCTCACTACTTTTGTCTTTTCTTATTGTTGCATTTTTGTCATTAGTTACATCTTTTTCTTTTTGATTTCTCTTTAAGTGGCTAAAAGTTAAACTAAAATAGGAAGTTTTCAAATTTATGATAGTTTTCTTGTTGGAGGATGTAATGTTTTATTCCTTTAATCATAGTTTTAAAAACTTCATTGTAGGGGTAGGAATTTGGGACAGTGGTGAAGATGCTGCTTCTCAGTACCTGGTTTAAGTCCTGACTCCATTTCCTGATCCAGCTTCCTGGTACTGTATTTCCTGGGAAGTGGCACATTATGGCTTATGTACTTGACTCCCTGCCAGCTCCATGGAAGATCCTTAGCGAGTTCCTGGCTCCTGGATTCAGCCCCGTCCAGTCCTTATTGTGGGGGATATTTTGGGGAAAGAACTAGCAGAGAGGTAGCTGGTGTTTTTGTTTGTTCATTTGTTTGTTATTGCTTTTTGTGTCTTTGCCTTTCACATAAGTTTTTTAGAAATTTACTGAGAAAGATGGGTAAGTTGAGATTCTCTTTGTGGGAAGGATTTTATTTTGTTTATGTCTACTTTTTAGTTGACAAATGTTTGTATTTTTAATGTCTAGCATGAAAACATGATACATAGATAGGTTGTGTAATAATTAGAGCAATTTCTTTTTTTCATTTCCTTTTTCTTTCTTTCCTTCTTTTTTAAATTACATTGCATTATGTGACACAGTTTTATAGGTACTAGAATTCTCCCCACCCCTCCCCAAACCCTCCCCCTATGGTGGATTTTTCCACCTTGCTGCATTGCCACAGTTCAAGTTTAGTTGAGATTTTTTGATTGCAAGCATATACCAAGCATAGAGTCCAGTATCTTATTGTCCATATAAGTTCAGCACCTTCTTGGGGAGACGATCTCTGGTCTGAAGGTAGAACCGGCAGAGTATCATCCCAATCAATTAAAAGCCCCAACATAACATCAGCAACAATTTATAACGTTGTGGAATTAATTGACATAGTATTGAGTAACCAATATGTTAAAAAAAAATGCAAGTTCTTAACCACATCCTGTGACTTCTTCATTGACATTTCAATTTTAGTTTATAGACAACTGAGTTCTATACACCTTAAAATGGCTATAGATTACTATTCAGCTGTCTCGTGTCTATTTTCATTGTAGTATTTAGCTTTTTATAGCGTTGAAACATAATTTTGCTGAACCTGGCTTTTTTGGGGGGGCAGTCTAGACTGGCGTATAACTCTAACAAGACATATGTCAACAGTTTAGGTGCAGAACAGTTTTAGGAGGGGTGTGCAGAGAAATCTTCAATGCCCTAGTGAGGAATAACTAATCTTTGTGTCCCACCTAGTAAGGCGCAAGTGAATCCCAGCTGACCGTTTCCTGTCTGATTCTAGGCTTTCCTTGTTGTTCTCTGCCTAGCTATTCTAGATTGTTTGTTTGTTTGGTTGGTTATTTGTTTTGAGGGGTTTCTGGAGCTATCCTGATAGTCATTACGAGGGAGGGTGGGGACCCAAAGTTGGAACCAAGCGAGGACCAGAGAGCTCCCCTCCCTAGTCCCGAAGGAAGTTTATTGTTGTTCTGCTTCTGCGGGCTGCTCAGGGCTCTTGGCTGTTCTGATGCTCTTGCATCCTGCGAGGGAGGGTTTGGACTTTTTCTATCTCATGTGATAGATTCAAGCGGGAGTGGATGACCTCAGAGTTCTTGGCCTCCGAAGGCATTCCAGTTCCCCGTGGTCTTCTTGGTAGTTGGGATGTAGTCCTTGGTGCTCGTACTGATATTCCTTGGTGAGGATCCGGGACTCTTCAGGGTTGGGATACAAGCCTCCTCCTGTCTACCTGCTCCGCTCAGGGGTCCCACTCTGCTCTGTGCATATGAGCTCCTGTTAAGAGGTTGTCAGGATCGCTCTTGATTCCCCCTATATTTCTTTGTAGTTTAACTATTGTCTAATGCTGATTCGAGTCTGTTGTCTATGAGTTACCAGTTATGATCCTGGTAGGTTGTGTTTCACATCTTCCTCACACATTCTAGGGAGATGGAGGATTTCTCTGCTCTCCCGCCCCATTATGGAATATCATAGCGTATTCTAAGTATATTAGGTTTTACATTTCTTTGATGTAGATCATAAGCAGTCTGACTCACATTGGATGTTAGTTCATTGGTTACATCACAATATCATTGCATTTGATACAGGCTATCTGAGGTTGAAATAATATTACAGTTTACAGGTACTATTTTTCATATTGATATCATTTCATCTGAAATTAAGGCAAACATGTGGTATCTAACCTTCTGGGATTGGCTCATTTTCCTTAGCATTATGGTTTCCAGTTGGGCCCATATTTTCATTTTCTCCAGCATTTGTATTTCTGTGTCCTGGGAAGTATGGGACTAGTTTATTTGTTTTGAAATATTTCATAAGTTATTGTAGACTATAGTTGCTTTGCTCTACTGTAACACACTAGAATTAATTCTAGTGTTGCTATATTCTAATACCAGGAAGGATTTAAAATCAGGTTTAGTTTTCCAAATAAATATTGGAGAAGAAAGAGAGAGAAGTCTTAATCTTCCATGTGCTGGTTTATTCCCCATGTGACTGCAACAGTTGGGGCTGGACCAGGCCAAAGCCAGGCACTTTTCCAGGTCTCCCATGTGGTTGAGGAACCCACCCAATTGGACCATCCTACTTGCTTTCCCAGGTGCAGTAGCAGAGAGCTAGATTGGAAATGGAGCAGCCAGGACATGAACAAGCGCCCATATGGTGTGAGCAGCAGCTAAACCTGTTACTTCACAGTGCCAGCCCCTATTTCTAGCTTTATACATTGGATTTAATCAGAAAAATTATGGTTTTTCTTATTTTAGATGCATCTGAGGTTTTACAATTCTGTGTAACCAATAGTTTTCTGCATCTCCCAAATTTTGATATTATATATCCTCATTATCACTCAGTAAAAAATATTGTGTAATTTCCAGTTAAAATTTTTAGATCATGTGTTATTTACTTATATGTTTCTTGCTTCCAGACAGCAGGTGATTTTTGCCTTTTATAGTTGTTTTATTTGAAAGGCAAAGGAAGATCTATCACCTGTCTGTGTCCCTCCCCAAATGGCCATACTCGTGGAAGCTGCACTAGGCAGAAGCCAGGAGCCAGGCCCTCGTCTGCTGCCTTTCCAGGCACGTTAGCGGGGAGCAGGATCAGAAGCAGAGCAGGAAGGCAGGCCAGTGTTTGCAGGAGGCAACCGAGCTCTTGCAGCACAACACTGGTCCCAGCAGATGCTTTTCTGCTTATCTTCCTGTAACTAATTTCTGTCTTCTGTCTTTTTCATAGAAATCTGAGTACGATGAGTGATTTCAGTCTTTTGAGTTTACTGAAGCTTTCATTATGATGAGTTCATAGGCAGTATTGGTGACTTCTGTGGATTCAGTGCAGTGTTCTCTGTCAGATCAAGTTTCATTGTGTTCATTTTACTTATTTTATTTATCCATATTTACTCATGTTATTTACTCTGTCAGCTGTTGAGAGGTTTCAAAATTCGTTCTGTGGTATTGTGTTTATCTTTATTTCAGAGTATTTTTATTTATGTATTTTGAAGCTGTGTGTTAAATAAATAAGTATTTGGGACTATTGTATTTCCTCACAAATCGACGTTTTTGTCCTTGTGCAGTATTCTTTTCCCTTAAAATCAACCTGAGTTTTGAATTTAAACAAGTGTATTTTTTCCCATTCTCTTCGTTATCTTTGATTCTTCTTTGGAATGTTAGTTTGTGTAGTATCAATTTTTTTATGTGCTTTTCTCATGTCTTAATATGAAAGTTTGCAATTTCTGTTTTTTCCTAGTCTGTGTTATCTTATCTGTTGATCTGTTGTGTCTTGTCCCATCATATGTAGAAACAGAAATTCTGGTTATAAATGAACTAAGTGATAATATATTCCATGTACAAAATACCTTGATAAATTTAGCTTTTGGCCTTTGATTTGCTTTTTCTTTTGGTGTTGTTGGTCCTTGTTAAAGAGATTCCTTGCCCAATTCATAAATAAATGTGTAATTTTATTCTTAGTGTATATTCTGCTATGTCTGGCTTTTTCTTTTTCCTTGAAGTTCTTTTGTTACTAAAATGAAATAATCACAGATTATAAGATTTTATTAAATGTAATTTAAAGTTGAGGTTAATGGATTATGGCATTGATTTTCTTCTATGCATGTAGTTTCAAATGATAATGAAGACATGGATGGTGATGGTGTTCAAGAAATAACCAGTCGAGACAGCCCAGTTTATCCAAAATGCTTGGTTGATGATGACCTTGTCCTGGGAGTTTACATTCACCGAACTGATCGGCTTAAGTCAGACTTTCTGATTTCTCACCCAATGGTTAAAATTCACGTCATTGATGAGAATACTGGCCAGTATGTCAAGAAAGATGACAGGTAATTTTGAAGTTGAGACTCCACTGTAGAAGTTTTCTTTTCTGCCAATAGTAGTTGAAAGTGAGCTGGGATCGAGCCATGAGTTTATATTAGAGAGAAATCTAATAGTTGTTTAAGTTCATCCCCCAATTAATATTGATCTGTATGTTTTGAAGAAGAAATTGAGAACACCTTTCAGTTTGGCAGTTCATTGTAAGTGGAAAGGAGTAATTCATCTTAAGCATTGGAAAGGTGCTACCAAGCTTACTGACTAATTTATGGGATAAAGCTTGGATTGGAACTACCTTATGTTGCATTATAATGCTTTAGAGATACATGTTTTTGATAATATGTTACCTGGACCTCAGGTGAAGTGAATGAATCTCGGTATTTCTTTCCTGAAATTACTTCTGTAACAAATACATGCATTAAAAAATACATAAAAGTAAAATGAAATAAATAATTATGGTAGAATTCAAAGAAATCATTTGTTTGGGAAGATGACAGGAGAGGAAAATGCAAAGATTATCCAGTAAAGATTCACTTATATAGTTATCTGAATACGTACAAAGCAGCTGTGACAAAGGAGTTGCAATTTTTGGTTCATTTTATATTTAAGTAAATTTACTTTTTAATCACAGGATATTTAACATGCTCAAGAAATTGCTTTTTTTCTAGCTCTGTGTAAAGTGTAATCATAGCTTCTTGTTGTATGTCTGTGATAAATACTGTACAACCAACTAGTAGTAAGTAAATGCATGATGATAGTAATGCACTACTACTTTTAAGTTTTCCATTTTCTAGTTGGATAGTAAAAAATAGTTTTTCCCTTTCTAGTGTATGGCTATTCATAATTTTTGGTTGTCTTACCTTGCACATTGTATAATTTTTCTTACCCTAAAATTATCACGAAGAATTGTACTAATGGAAGTATTTTTCTTTGAACAGTGAACGGCCTGTTGCATCTTACTATGAAAAAGACAATGTGGATTATATTCTTCCTATTATGACCCAGCCATATGATTTTAAGCAGTTAAAATCAAGGCTTCCGGAGTGGGAAGAACAGATTATATTCAATGAAAATTTTCCATATTTGCTTCGAGGTTTTGATGAGAGTCCTAAAGTCATCTTGTTCTTTGAGGTATGAATTGAATGAAACAATTAAACAGAAATTTTAGGTAACAGTTGCACCAATGTAAGCTCTTTTTAATGGTTTAGTAATGCAGTTACTAGATTTTGTGTTATCATGTGCTATCGCGATTTAGGATGGTATTTTTTTCAACAGAGGTGGTGTATTTGATGAGCATCTACTAGTGGCACACACCAGCCATTGGACCCACTGAATATCATTTGACTCTTACAGCAATCCCATGACTAAAGTGCTAAATCTATTCCAAGGAAAGGCAACCCTTTTTTCTGAACCCATTTCATGAATAGTGAACCTATTTAACTGTGTCAGAGATCCTGAGAATTTTGGATCTCATCTGCGTAAGCAAAAATAGCCCTGTATCTAGATCAGTTCACCAACGCAATGAAACATGCAACCAAAAATGTAGAACTTGCTAAGTGTGAAGGGCCAGAAGAAGACCAGCGCTGCCAGCGAAAGACCTAGGAAACAGCTGGCCTCAGAGCTGACTTGTTGTTCTGATCTTACTTTTTGTTTCCCTTTTCCCTGATAAAAATGTCAAGGATTGTGGAGAACACAGAATTTATCATTCATTCCAGTTTTAAATGTAGTTGATTAGTTTTGAAAGTAGCTTAGACCTAGAACACCTTATTTCTTTTTCTCCCTAGTATTCTCTTTTTGTAAGCAAGAAAGGGAATTTTATCAGGGAAACAGCAAGGAGTCTGGCATAAGCAGAGCTAATGTTTCATTTTGTAGCGTTATTTGTTTTTTAAAATTCTTGATTTTCAGGCTTTCCATGGATATTTATAATATAATCTACCATGTACATCAGTGATTGTGTTGGATATGATCTGTAGAGGCCTGTAGTTATTTAAGAAGTTAATTATAATTTGGGGCTGGCATATTGGCTCAGTGGGCTAATTCTCCACCTAAGAGTGTGGGCATCCCATGGTAACATAGATTCATGTCCCAGCTACTCCACTTCCTTTGCAAACCTCTGCGAATAGCCTGGGAAAGCATCGGAGGAAGGCCCAAAGCCTTAGGACCCTGCATCCACGCAGATGACCTGGAGGATACTCTTGCCTCCTGGCTTCTGATCAACTGAGCTCTGGCCCTTCTGGTGACTTGGGGAGTGAACTAGTGGATGGAAGGCCTTCCTTTCTGTGTTTCCTTCTCTCTGTAAATCTGTATTTCCAATAAGAATAAGTAAGTCCTAAAAATAATTTTAAAAATAAGTAAAAAGTTATAATTTGTATCTGAAAGAACATTTCTTCCTTATAGAAATTTGGGGTTTTGTTTGATATAATATTATTTTTATTTATTAATGTTAAGAGTTTAAGAGTGCTTGATTGCTGGATTTATAAATAGTTTTATTACTTCTTAAGTTTTAGTGTAATGTGTTTTTTCTTGTACAACTAGTTTTTTATTTTAACATTTTAAGGACTATTGAAGGAGACTTTGATTATATATTTTAGAATCTCTTTAAACTGTTATAAAATTTGTAGATACTCATCCAAAGGGAAAAATAACAGACCCATAAAGAGATGTGGACAACATATTTATTTAAATGTTGTTTATAACAGCACAATTTTAAGATAAAAGCATGTAAATTTCAATCAGATTTGTTTACACTATTGTTTTATTAAATGTATTAGATTTATGATAATAGGCTGCCATCAACATGACGATATTCAAGTATATGTAGGAACATGAAAATATATCTACTACATAGTATAAGAAAATAATTTGCAAAGAAAGCACATATTGGATTTGTACTGACACATGTTTAGAAATACACATTAAACATAAGAACATGTAATGTGGATGTCAATGATAAGTAAAATTCTGTCAGTCTGGATTACAAGTTGCTTTGACTTTATTTACATTATTTTACTGTATGATCAGGGTTTTTTTTTACTGAGAGTATATTATATCTGAAAAGAGTTTGGTAGTGTCTAAAGAAGAGGGGTGGACAGAATCTGCTTGTGTTTTCAATGGTCTTCGGGGAAGATTATTTCCACCCAAGCTGTCGGTAAGCACCTGTGAGTTCTAGGTCAATGCTTCTGACAAACACCTAGAATACAGTATCTGCAGGTTTTGCAAATCCATTAGCTTGGACAACCAGACAGGATGAGGTAGGAAAGAAATCCGCTTGAGAAGTCTAATGGCAGCGTCTGTTCAAAGTGGAAGCCTTCAATTTTAGGAAGGTGATTAAGGACCAGATGAATGGCCATGAGCTTTTAAACAGCCCATTTGACTTCTGCTCTGATAGCATAAAACATAATCCCGGCTTATACAATCTATGTCTGGCATATATGTGCTTGCGGTGTATTCAGGGTACTTAATACTTTGCTTTGTTTTCAAAATCAATCTTAATAAAAGGTTTGTAAAGAAATGATAATGTGGCCAATGGTGAGTTAACTTTAAAGTCCATGAAATAAAATAAAAATGTTTGTCCCTATATTAATTATAACAGTGTATTGATTCTGTTATTAAATTTTAGGTGACCTAGCCTTCTGAGAGAAGTAATTTTAAAAATTTATTTGCAGATTCTTGATTTCTTAAGTATGGAAGAAATTAAGAACAACTCTGAAGTTCAAAACCAGGAGTGTGGCTTTCGAAAGATTGCCTGGGCATTTCTTAAGGTATGTTTTTCACTTATTTGAAACACTTCATATTTGGTTGGCTGGTTTTCCCCAAGTTAGTTTGCATTCATATAAGGAGTAATGATCTAAGATCAGATTGCCATGGAGTTCATTATTAACTCAAGCCCAAGTGACACTCATTCATATCTTCCTTTCCTGATGACTGGCCTGGTACGTGAGTGGCCTAGAGGATTCATTGTTGACCAAGATACAGAAGCCCCACCTTCACTGATTTAGTGCAGGAAATACTTAGTAAGGCCCCTCGCTGTAAAAGTCACTGTTCTTGTCAGTGAACCTAGGGAAGATAGGTTTCTTGAAGTCATATCTGAAAACTAATTTTTTTTAAAGCTAGAATTCAAGTTTTATAAATAACCATGAGCAGGTATGGGGCAGAAGGTGGAAACAAGGGCTCTGGGAGGTCAAGGGTGGGTTTCCTCAGGAGAAGCATTTCACTCAGCATTAGCAAGAGGGAAGAGAGAGTTCACAGTTCTGGGTACAGGTACTGTATGCAAAGATGCTGGTGGGGGAAGCGGCAGTGGTGGCTCAGATAACCAGCAGAGGGCAGCATGGTGCAGGAACAGGCTGAAGGGTCTTGATGACATACGATCTTCTAAGCCATTAAAGCAATAAGAAACCATTACCAAATATTAAAGAGTAAGGAGAAGCTACGATCGCATTTTGATTAGTTTTTAAAGATCTATGTATTTATTGATTCTAAAGACAGAAAAACTTTGAGAGACAAAAAATCTTCCAGCTGCTGTTACATTCCCCTAATGCACAAGCAACAGCTCAAGTTAGGCCTGGCTGAAGCCAGGAGCCAGGAGCTTCATCTTACTCTCTTAGGTGGTCTTCAGGGACCCACGTATCATTTGCTGCTTTCCCAGGCACATTAGCAGGAAACCTGCGTGGAAGTACATGCCCAGGACTCGAACTGGCACTCTAATAGGGATGTTGGCATTGCAAAAAGCAATTTAACAAGTGAGATGTCGCCTGTCCCCATGATAACATTTTAAACAAAAGGATAAAGTAATTTCATTTATATTTCAGAATGTTAGCCTGATATACAAAACATGGATTTGGGGGGTGGGGGGGAAGGTAGGTATTACAAAACCAAGTGAAGAAATAGTTACAGTAGTCTTGGTGCAAATGGCGGTGTCTTCCAGGAGGATATTTCAATAGAGACAAAAAACATAGATTGATATTGATTATTGTTATTGATTGTTTTTTTCTGACTAAAAATGTAGATTTGAATTGTGAAAATCTTAAGTATTTCAATTTTTTACCATCTTACAAAAAAGTTTTCACTTACGCATTCATCAATTAAAAAAATAGCAAATATCTATAAAACACATGGCAGTCTGATGAACAAACAGCGTTTCATGGATAAGTAGGACATTATTTCTATCTCCACTGTTTGTCTCCACTTAGGTGTCTATGTAGACATTACCTTCCTAACCACGTGGTACAGTGTAGAGTAAAAACTCAGTTGAGGCATGTACTCCACCCTGGCAGTTAGAGGCTTTACAAGAAATGTAGTTAGTGTTAAATCACTTGGTCCAGCTGACACAACATTTAAGATTACCATTCTATAACTTACATGTTCTTTTAGACCGTTTCCCACACCCATGTAAAGCAAAAGAATGAACTGACGTTCCCTTACTGTGGTAAACATTGCCATCTTGTGGTTAGTCTTAGAAACTACTTTGATTGGAAGACTAACGTCTCATGCCATTTTTGCCTATTAAGTATTATATGGTTTTTTAACTTATTTATCCATACTAATGTAAAGTGCCTGGTATATAAGAAAACCATTTAAGGAACTACCATGATGAACTTTTAGACAGACAGTGAAAGTGTTTTTAGGGAAGTCTGAAGTGCTCGCTACTTTACACCTAAACTTTTTTTTTTTAAGATATATTTATGTATTTGAAAGGCAAAATGATTGAGAAAGGAGGGTAAGACAGATAGAGAAAGCAAGATTGACATCTGCCATATGCTGATTCACTTCCCAAATGGCTGCAAGGCTGTGACTGGGCCATACTGAAGCCAGTAGCCAGGAACTCCATCCAGGGCTGCCATGCACATGGCGTTGGCTCACGTACTATGGTTAATCTGCTGCTGTCTTACCAGGAGTCTTAGCAGGGATCTGGATTGGAAGCAGAGTGACTGGATCTCATGCTAGGGCCCCGCTGGAAGTGGCAGCTGTATGTTAACCCTCTGTGCCACAACCTCAACCCTATTCCTGAACTTTTTTTTTTCTAATTTGAAATTATCCTTCACCCCTTGGTGACACTTGATACCCACCATGTCACCCATTCAGTTTATAACTCCTGTTGGCTGTAATCCTGCCCTGGCGGGCTGCGGATGAAGATGGCCTGTGTGTTTGCTATCTCTCTGTGTGGATGCATCACTGCTGACCTCACTACAATCTAGAACTTGCTTTTGCCACTGAGGCTTCTCCAGCCAGATGGCCAATGACTTCTGCTTGCCGGGCTTTCCAGCTGTTGCTTTATGTGTGTTTAGTACATTACTGCCTCAGAACTCTGTCTTTAGCTTTGTTGGTACCTTCTGAATCGCCTCTTCCCATTCTTTCAGAAGTCTTTCGGATGGCCTTCCCATCTGCGTCTTCAATATTCAGTGCTGCTCAGAGTTTCATCCTTAACTTTCTTTGGACCTACTTTTCTCAACTGTGATTCACATATTTGAGATTCTTCCTGACCCCAACAATGCCTGTTCCTTCAGTTGGTAATGCTGCTACCACCTGCCCAGTCAACCGAATTTATGACCTCAGAATTGCACTTTTTTTTTTTCTGTAGCTACAAGTCTTGTGCGGCTGTTTGCATTCAAATTCATTAAAGCTAAATAGAATTAAAACTATGTCAGCATGCCTGCACTGCACATAGCCATTCGTCTTTGCCTAGCCCAGATGCAGAGCACCCACCATCACAGAAGTTCTGCTGTGACAGCGCAGGCCCTTACTGCCCAGGTTTCGTCAGTCGGTGAGAGTTCTGAAGCATCTTCTTGGCACTCCTTGCCCGTTTCTCTGGCTCGTCTGCCGGAACCGCTCAGACTCCCAAGCGTCTCGTCCTAATTTGCAGAGGACAGAAACATTAGAAAGCTATTTGCTGGTCAGATTTATGGTCTATGAAAAACTACCTGTTTGGAGTTGGTGTGGTTTTTAAATTTCTTTTATTAGATTGAATCTGTATCTATGTATATAGATATATAAACCTTAAATGTAAGTTGCTTTGTTTATTAAAATTTTAAAACAGATATTTGTAGAAATGGCAGACTAAAATCCTGAAAAAAAAATGAATGGCTTAAGATTACTTTAAAATTATTTTGACTATGAAAAAGCAAAATAACTTAAAATCTCAACCATTAAAAATACTGTACTGGAAGCAGACGTTTAACCTACCGGTCAAGGTGCCTGTGTTGCACATTGGAGTCCCTGGGTTCAATTCCCAGCTCCTGCTCCTGACCTGACCTTGCTGCCAGTGTGGTCGCTGAGAGTCCGGATGCTTCACCTGCCCTACGCACAGGACAGCTGGGCTGTGTCCTTGGCTCTAGCCACAGCCTGGCCCTGGTTGGTTTTAGTTTTGTTTTGTTTTAATTTGGGAAGTAACCAGATAGAAGCTCTCCTTCTGTCTTTGTCTCTCTGCCTCAAGTAGATTAATAACAAAAATCTTTACACTGGGCAAAAGGAAAATTTGTCTGTATTTGCACATCTTCATCTTTGTCAATATTGTTTCAAAGTAATGTGACTTGATCACCCTTTTGGTGTGCGGTGACATCTGGCACGGTAAGTGTGTTACTTAGAGTCTGAAATTGTACCTTTGGAAGGAGAACAGGCAGGAACACATTTTAAATTTGTCAAAGTGATCTAGCTGTGCATAACCATGAACAATGTTCTTTGCTTTACAAATCTAAGGAATTTCAACTATACCATATTTAAATTCTTTTAAAATGGATTTTTGACTATATAGTATTGCTCTATTGAATACATTGTTTTACTATGAAGGTAATATTTTATATGACTTCTTATTTTTAGCTTCTGGGAGCCAATGGAAATGCAAACATCAATTCCAAACTTCGTTTGCAGCTGTTTTATCCACCTACTAAACCTCGATCCCAGTTAAATGTTGTTGAAGTATTTGAATGGTGGTCAAAATGTCCCAGAAATCGTTATCCCTCAACATTATATGTAACTGTAAGAGGATTGAAAGTTCCAGATTGTGTAAGTTAATAGCACATATAAATGTATATTGCTTGTTGTTGAAATTAAATTGTGATATAATATTTCTAATGGACAAGATTTCTAAAATGATTGTGAATTAGCGTTTAGCAAAAGGTGCCTTCGGAGAGCCTGGAAAAGATTAAACTTAAAATATATGTAAATTAATTTTTTTAATATTAAATGCACATTTCAGTGTTAGGAAAAATACTTTTTATTTTTGGCTTTTAAAAATTAAAGATTAAAAAAATAGCTTAAAACTGGAATTGACAAATGTTTTCCTGTAAAGGGCCTGGTAGTAAACATGTTGTGGTGTGAAAGTAGCTAATAGACATAGGTTTACAGTAACATGATCTGTCCCAATAAAACAGTCACCAGGCCAGCTTTGGTTTATGGGTAATTTGTTGATCCCTGTCTTACAGGTCCATTTTTTTTTTCATGATAGAGATATTTAAAATCCAGGATATAATATGTCTACTGTTGTTTTCCATAGATGAGTATTGTAAGTGATGTTAGCAAAGTATTGATCCTAAAATGAAAAATGTTTGCTTTCATCGTATCATAAGAAATTAATCTTTTAAGTTAGTTGCACATTCTTTAACTGGTATTACATTCTGTGATCTCAGGGTTAGTATATTTTAAAGTGAATGAAGTAAAAAAAAATCTATCAACAAAATATGAGGATTTTTAAAAAATTAGATTTTCATGATACTCATTTTGTGATTTTAAAACCGGAGGGACATAGTGTGTGAGAGCCACAGCTTAATATCCCGTAAGTGTTGATAAGGAAGTGGAAGTGGGTAGTGGGCATTTGGCACAGTGCTTGGGATGCTGTTTGTGATGCCCACGTCCTGTAACCAAGTGTGTGGATTCAGGTGCCAGTTCTGCTTCTGATTCTAGTTTCTTGCTGGTGCACACTGTGGGCAGCAGCAGGAGCTGCTCGAGGGCTTGGACCCCTGCCACCCACATGGCAGACTTGGTGAAGCTCTCGGCTTCTGACTGCAGCCTGGCCCAGTTTGGACTGTTGCAGACATTTGGGGAGTGAACTGGTCAATGGCAAATCTATGTGTCTCTGCCTTTCAAATAAATTTAAAAAGAAAGGGAAGGGATAGAATTATTAAAACCATTTTAATTTTATATAGCCATTGGAATCCTGTTTTCCCTTCAAACTTTCAAAGCGTCTTCATTGTAGTATTATAGTATTAATCAAGTGGCTTTTATTTTACTGTAATATTATGCAGATAAAAGTAGATTTTTTTGTAGATTTCAGAGAGAGAGAGAGAGAGAGAAAGAGAGATCCAAAGCTGTGCATCATGCAAGTACTTATTGCTAACAGGAATGGGCCAGGTCAAAGCCAAGAGCTCAGAATGCCATCTGAGTCAGCTGCCTTGATGCCAGGAGACCCAAGTGCTTAAGCCATCTTCTACGGCCTCCCAGGGTGCTCTAACAAGATGGTTGGAAACGGAGGTGCAGGGATTCTGACGAGCACTATGGTGAGATAGGGCATCACAAGCAGTGACCTAACCCGCTGCACCACAACTCAGCCCTAAGTATTTTCAAAACAATATGTGCCAAAAGAGAGACAAAGAGGAACAGGCTAAAAGTCTTCTCGTTGATTTTGCACTTCTAGATAAAACCGTCTTACCGCTCTATGGTGGCTCTTCAGGAAGAAAAAGGTAAACCTGTGTATTGTGAGCGTCACCATGAGCCAAGTTCGGTAGAGACAGAACCTGGATTAGAAGACTCCAAGGAAGTAGTGAAGTGGAACCGGCTGCCTGGGCAGGTGAAGTGCTTGATAATATGAAAGCATGTACAGCTTTGCTCATTCCTTAGAAACCCTATAACAGCTCGTAGGGTGTCTATTTTATAATTTTATATTTTATAAAAATAAAATTTTTGTATCTATTTTATAATTTTATCTCTTCTAATTGTATCTATTTTATAATTTTATATTTTATTTTAAAATAAACTACATGCTACTTGTCTTTCTAATTAAACTGTCAATTAATTCATCACTATTTAGACATGAAAAAAGAAATTGGTTAATTTTATGGAAAATTAATTTTGTTTTCCTTAAAACTAAATTTCTAATTTAGAAAACAATTTACGGTAGTTTTCCATCATTCTGCTAACTGGCTTTTGTCCCCTGCATCACAGTGAAGGGACTTGAACAACCAACCGAAACACTGTTCTGAAGCTCGAGTTAGGAGCCAGTCCTTGCATTTTAATTTTTCCCACGTGTGCTTCCAGGCCTGCCGGATCCCGAACAAGCACCTCTTCTCACTGAATGCGGGAGAACGCGGGTGCTTCTGTCTTGGTTTCTCCCACAATGGACGCATACTAGCAGCAGCCTGCGCCAGCCGCGACGGCTACCCCGTCATATGTGAGCGATGATTCACGTTGTGTGATCTTATAGTAGTCTGTGTGGCAGGCTTTGGTTTCAAAAAACGTCTTGAAATCGTAATTTGAGTAATATATAGTACTATTACATTATACAGAATTTCTTCAAATAAAGGCAGTGTTTTTATAATAATTGTACCCCTTACAGTTACTACTCAGAAGTGTAACTGATAATCAAATGAAAGCTGCACATGTAGTTCTTTTTTTTTTTTGGTTTCCCTTTCTTTCCAATGGAAACTCATAATTGACATAATTGGAATTTATCAAATATTGCAATAATGAGTTTTAAAAGTACGTAATTATTTGATTACCAGCATACTAGACATATTTTAAAAATTGACTAAAAGCCTACATGTGGGAAAAAATATTTTTAAGAAATATGCACTAGTGAAGTAGGGTTTTTTGTTTGTTTGCTTAGTGAAGAATTGTCATTCTGACTTAGATGATTTAGAATTCTCTGTGATAAACTTGCTGGAAGTGCTACATAGCATGGGCATTGCTACCAGCCTCCACGTGAGGGCCACTTGACGCACAGGCTCACCTACCTCTGACTCAGCTTCCTCTTACACGTCTAGGGAAGTAGCAGAGATGGTCCTAGTACTTGGCTCACTGCCACCCACGGGGAGACCCGACAGAGGCCCTGGCTCCTGGCTGTCGCCTTGCCCAGACCAAACTCTTGTGGCCATTTGGAGAGTAAACCAATTGGAGGAAGGTCTCTCTTTTTTTCTCTGTTTCTCTCTCTTTCCCTCTCTCACTCTGTCTTTCACATGTATAAGTAAAAAAAAAAAAAGCTTTAAAAAATATTATATAAATGTAGATAAATCTACTGCCTGGTAAAATTTTGTTCTTATATTTAGATGAAATTCATTTAGGTTGTTAAATGTGCAGTTTAATGTTTTTCACAAATGTAATTAGGATTTTTTAGCTGCTCTTTCCTAAAGGAATATGTTTGTCCCTTTCTCTTGTCTATAATTGCTAGTATGTTATTTTTGTTATACTTGGGAGTGTCTTCCTTTTTCTCCTTTTTCTTGGATTGGATCGTCTCAACTCACCCATTGCCAGCTTTCACAATTCTTCGGTCAGTTGAGATCTGCTGTTGATCCCTTCCAGGGAATTATTTTTTTTTAGTGATTCTGCATTCCAGTTCTAAAATTTATATTTGATCCTTCCTTTTTTCCCAATCATTTCTGTTTCCTTGCTGATACTCTATTTTTAATGAGAAATAATTGTCTTTCATTTTTACTTTTAAAAAAAAAAACCTGTTACTTTAGTGACAGAGACAAGATGGGAGGCATTTCCACTTGCTGGGTCACTCCCGGTGCATGTGACTGGGACTGGGCCTGACTTAAGCCCAGGGTGAGAAACTCATGCTTCTCTCCCTTGTGGTGGCCCAGATGCAAGTAGTCCAGCATCGCTCACCACTTCCCTAGGCGTGCCCTGGTAGGAAGCTGGATCGGGGTGGAGCCAGGACCGAGCCCAGGCACTCAGGTGTGGGTGCAGGTGGCTCACCCCATGATGCCATTGCTTGGTCAAACCCCTGCTTCACTGGTTGTTCTTTCAATGTTTTCTTCAGATTTTTGAATGTAATTGTAATAGTAGATCTAGATAGACCAATGGCTGCCAGGCTTCCTTGATTTCTATATGGACAATTTCTCTCAACTCTTATTTTTTCCTGTTTATGAGCCACATTTTCTGTTTATCCTTTTGTAAATCTCAATTTGTGAAAATTGGGTATTTTATCTGATAGAATTGTGGTGTCTCTGAAAATCAGATTCTCCTTTCTTTCTCCTTGCAACTATCCAGAATTTGTTCTTGCTTTTTGTTCAGTGGCTGCTAAACAGATTCTCCACAGCCTAGTTGTCCTTTGTGGGTGTGTTAGTCTGCTCACCCTTGCCAGGCAGGCACTGTGTGTGTGTGTGTGTGTGTGTGTGTCTGTGTGTGTGTGTTGGTGGTGGTGGTAGAGGTTTACGGCCTTCAGGGGTTCAGCAGGCAGTGCACCCCTATGCTTTAGCCCTGACTTCCTGTTTGTGCAGTGCCTCCTGAGGTCAGCCAGAGTGAGAGAAAAGTCCTCTCATGCTTTTCTTGGCTGTGCACACCACTCTTCACCTACACATGTGGGGATTCTTCTGGATTCCCAGGAATATTTTGGAGTTCACGAAAGCATGCTGTGAACCTCTGTAGCATTTGAGTTTTGTGATGAGCCTTTTCTTAAGAAGCACTACCTTGTGTCACCACTTGAGGGAGCTCTGATGTTAAATGATGCCCCTCATGGTTTCAGCATGCATCCCAAGATTATGGTTAGGGTTGTTTGTATGTTGCATGTATTGAGCCAGGTCAGATAAAGCCAAGCCCAGAGAGTGGAGCCTTTTGTGGAGCCATCAGATTGCTAAAGAGTGATTAAAGAGTCTGGGAATGGGGCTCTTGGTAGTGGTGCCTGCAAGAGGAGGAGGGAGATTGTTATGCAGCTTCTGTCAGGCTCCTGATTTCCAGCGGTTTCGGGCTACTTTAGAGCTTCAGAGAGATGGAATAGGGCAAGGTAAAGCATGGTAAAGCTCAGTCTCCTTACTGAGATTCCGCCATTCTTCTGAAGAAATGCTCCTCATTTCGTTACAACTTGGTTTAATTTCCAGAGTTCTGAAAGATGTTGCTGTTTGACAGTTTTTACAAGTACTCTTGTGTTTTCAAGGACAGTTTGCTGTTATCATTAAGTGGAAGTATAGACTAAAACTTTTTCTTTGGTGTTATTTTTAGAAGACTTCACTGTAGATATAATATACAGTAATACAGTGTTTTAACTTTTAGACTGAATCACTTTATTCTTTTGTTTGGAATTTTTTCTTACAGCATAGTTTTCATCTGTCAATTAAAATTTTAGTTGGAATATTATTTTCAGATAAGCTAGTATCTTATTGATGAAGTGAATTATGGTACAATATCACTTATTGACTACATAATTTTTAAAATTCTGAGACTGCTTTGAAGTGATAAAATAATTGGTTAAATATTATGTATTTTAGTATATTAAAAATTGTATAAATTCTTGTGTCTAAAGCAAATGAAAACTATGCTTATAAATTTAAAATTTTACTTACACTATGAATGTCTTTTGTTATAATTTTGTGACAGGACTTTACTTATTCCTAAATTATTAGAATTTATTTGCATTTTATTAAAATAAAAATTGTCTATCTGGAAACGTACTAATTTCTGCATTCTTTCACTAGTATACGAAATTCCTTCTGGACGTTTCATGAGAGAGTTGTGTGGCCACCTCAATATCATTTATGATCTTTGCTGGTCCACAGATGATCGCTATATCCTGACTTCTTCATCTGATGGCACTGCCAGGTGTGTACACCCCAGAACAGGTACCGTGTGTGCTGTTTGTCTTCACGAAGAGCAGAGGAAACACAAAGTGATACAAGGGTTCTTATTTTTCAGCCATGTTTTTCAGACCCAGTGAAGGGACTATCATAAATGTGCACTTTGCAGACAGACTTACAAAAGATAGAGTAACAAAATATTCCTAGTGAAACTATTTCTCATAAATGTTTAGATGAAATATTTTTAAATGAAAAAATATGGTAGTTGGTGACAGTTCCTTCACTGTTCAGCTGGGAACCTATCCTTGTTTAACAGGGCACACAGAACCTTACTGATCGGTTCTTTCAGCACAGCCTTTTCTGTCTGATGACAGGTAATGGCTCAAGAAAAGGACTTTTGACTGAGGCTGGGCTGTGGGTTCATGTCTTAAAGCCACCTGAGTTCTCTATTTTCTGCTGAACAGTCCTTTTACTTACTTTGTTCAGCATCTTTTTCTCATTCTTTTGCCAGCAGATCCAAACCTGATCACACATTAGGGTCTCTAAATCACCAGTCTTCTCCCTTTCATTAAATGTGAAACTTCAGTCATACGAGAATTACCCATATTTCTCTCCAATTTCCTTTGTAGTAACTATAAATTTCATGCATATTTACATCTGGACTGTTTTTTGGTCTGTGCTTTGAATCTTAATTCCTTATTCTATAATTCTATTGGATGCACTCTTCCTACCCTTCTAGTCTGTTCGTATCCACATTCTGTTGAATTTTGCCTTTTCCCAGTTTTTCCTGTCTTCTAGGCTGTCGTGGTTTTTTCTTTCAACACCATCGAGAGTATTCTACACTTAACATCTTCACCTCAAACCAGTTAAATATGGCGTCACTCCCACCATGCTGCTCGATGTCCTTTCAGCAGTTTCTTGCAAATTTGCCGGCTCCTGTCCAGTCTGTACTCTGCCTCCACTGAAGTCATTGATTATTGCCCCATCTTGAAATGTTTTCGGTTCAGTGGTTCTCATTTGCAACCTCTTTGGTTTTCTTTCTGTGGATGACTAGCCATGTTCAATTCTCTTTCTCTGGTTGCATTCCCCCTTCATATTCTGCAGAAGCGCCTATTCCCAGGATCCTGTACCTGGTTATTCTATGCTCATCTTAGTTTCTGTCACCACCCCCTGCCTTGAATTTGATTTATGTCTGTCACTTCTATCTGCCACTGTTTTTCTCAGTTTGACTTCCTGTTACACATTTCATCTCGATGACCACATGTCACCTCAGATTCAAAGCTAACTCAGCAGCCTTCCCGAAAGTTCTTTTCCTCCTTGGTTCTTTCTTACTTTTGCTTGTTTTTGAGGGAATTCTTATCTTCCCTGTCTTCCACGCCAGCAACCCGGACAGGTGTTCTGCCTAGCTCCTTCACACTTCTTCCCGTCTCTAAGTCCTCCTTTCTAGGAGGCTCGCCATTCTAACACACACCCCTGCTCTCACCGCTTTCAGCCAAAACCTCTACCTCAAACTCATCGTGTCTCTTGCTGAAATTGTTGCTACTAAGCACAGTGTTTTTAGTCTGTCGCTCCAGTGCTTTTGCTGTCTAAAGTTCTCTTTCCCAAATCATCTTTTATAATGTCTTAACTTTCATAATGTCTTGACTGAAAACTTGTTTGAATAGGCCTGCTGGAATTGGGTCTGCTTACCTGGCAAGCAGTAATAGCATTCACTAGCTGACTGCAGGTCAGCTGTGCTCTCTCCATCCTTCAACACCCTATCTTCTTTGGCGTCTGTTGCACTTACCTAATCTTGTGTCCAAATATTCTTTTCCTATCTTTCCTGGCGCACTTATTCTAACTTAAGACGTATCTTTGATGGAGCTACAGTGGGCTTGTAGTCCCCATTTACAAGCCACCTCAGACCTCAACATTTCTTGAATCCGTCTGGGGTTTCCTACGCATAATAATATATTTTCATATAGCTTTAAAATTGATATTAATTTGGACTCAACACCATAAAAATAGAATTGTGAAAGCACTAGCTGAGGGAAGAGAGAAATGTTGTAGTTAGAGTAAAAATAAAATTTAAAAACCCAAGCTTTTGGAAAGTGGCTGTGAATATGTAGTGAATAAGCAGAAATCAGAAGGAAAAGAACCAGACTCGCTGGTGCTCACAAGGGGCAGGGTGTGAATGCCTGCTCGTGTGTTCTCTTCCTGAGCATCACTGTCATACCATATGTTCTAAAGAGCTGCTTCCCCCGGGTGGCTCTCCGCCCTGTGAGCACCGCAAGAAGCTGTTTTCCTTAAGTCAGTAGAAGTCTTTTCTGAGTGTAATGGCTCTCCATGGAGCCCGCCTGCTCCCTCTGTCGTCCCTCTTCATACGATGTTTAACTGATATGTTTTTATTTTCTAAATCTGGTTTTTTGTTTTTTTGGTTTGTTTGGTATGTACATCTATTTTTTACAAATGTGTGTTTCTTTGCTCTCTCTGGTCAGCCTCATTTATCTTTCAACCCATTAATATATTTCTTTTTTAAATCACGGTTTCTACCACTGTTATAGTTGGGTAACAAAAGCCATGATTGATACTTATAGAATTTTTGCCCAAAAATGTTCATTTTTATTTATAAAGAACTTAATGCATTTTAATGGGATTGAGCTATTTTGGAGTTATGTTTAATTTCTGCCTATTACATAGTATTTCAGATACCATGAAAGTCTACAACCAAACAGCTGAGTATTTCTGTAACTTGTAAACATCTTAATATTCCCTTCAATTTAGCAATTTTATTGTTTTAGTTAAGAAGGTATTTCACATAGTATACATTCATTGAAAATATTACCACGATAAAAATATTTGTGTAATGACACATGTAGTTTATGTTACTTGAAAACATCTTCTTTCACTTCCTCCATTATTAGTTTAGGTTCCTAGTAATTGGCAATTACATCTTGTATTTTAAGCAGCTGCTTGACAAAAAACCTTAGCAGGATGTTATTCCTGAATACCAAATGTATTTTTCCTTTATATATCATTTTAAAAAAGAGTTGTTTACTTAGTTTTATGCAGTAATTAGCAAGATTAACATGAATCCCCAGAGCAAAAACTATTATCTGCTTCTTCTAAAAATGTAATGGAATATAAACAAGAATCTAATGTTTCACACTCAGTACCTATGTCCCATTTTTACACATGACAAGAATATCCATTTAACCCTAAGGGTTTACTCTGTTGTCAATAGTGTGGCAGCAATAATTTTGATATTTTTAAAAAATATTTATTTATTTTTATTGGTAAGGTAGATTTACAGAAGAAGGAGAGACAGAGAGCAAAATCTCCCATCTGCTGGTTTACTCCCTAAGTGGCCACAGCAGCCAGAGTTAAACCAATCTTAAGCCATGAGCCTGGAGCTTCTTCCAGGTCTACTATGCAGGTGCAGAGTTGAAAGACTTTGTGCTGTCCCCTGTTGCTTTCCCAGGCCACAAACAGGGAGCTGGATGAGAAGTGGAACAGCCAACACATGAACTGGAAGCCTGTATGGGAACCCAGAACATGCAAGGCGAGGGTTTAGCCACTAAGCCATTGTGCTGGGCCCTTGATTTTTTTTTTTCTAATTAGGCATTGTTTAGAGAAAAATACAATGAGAAAACATATTTCCTTGAATTAAAGGGTGCTCTTAATCATATTAGCATAATTCTGATTTTTTTTTTTACTGAAGAATTCAGTTTGATTTCAGTGTGATGTTTCAATCTGTGGAATCTTCATCATTATCATCTAGACTTTAAAGTTACACATGTGAAAGATAATAAAGTATCCTGTTCCTTACATATCCCTGGTAGGAATTTTGTAAAAGCAATATATACAGCATGTGGGAAATCATTGTCAAAAATAGGTTAGGTTTGAGGGTGGGTGCTGTAGTGTAACAGGTTAAATGCTGCTTGGGATGCGTACAGTCCATGATAGAATGCCTGGGATCAAGCACTGCCTCTGCTTCTGACCCAGCTGCCTGCCATTGCGCAGTCTGGGAGGCAGCCGATGGTGTCTTCAGTGCTTAGGTCCCTGCTATCCCACTTGGGAGATTTGGACAGAGTTCCTTGCTCCTAGTTTTAGTCTGGCTCAGCCCTAGACCTGCTACTGCAGGCATCTGACAGTGAACCAGTAGAAGGAAAACCTCTCTCTCACACTTGCTCTTGCTTTGGCTCTCAAATAAATAAAAAATAAATAATTCTTAAAATAGATATGCTTAAGAAACGGATATATCCAAATATAATTTTTTAGATTTTAGAGTATATACTATAATTACTAAATATGGTGAATAATATGAAATAGCTTTGTAAAAATTTCCAACCATCAAATATATGATTAACACATTTTTAATGTTAGGTTTATTTTATTTATTTGAAAAATGGAGTCACAGAAGGAGGGAGAGGAGAGATTTTTCCATCCACCACTTCACTCCTTAAATGGACATAATGGCCAGAGCTGGACCAGACTGAAGCCAGAAACTAGGGGCTACTTCTGAATCCCATGTGCTTGTAATGGCCCGAGCACTTGAGCCACCTTGTGCTGCTTTCCCAGGCATACAAGCAGGAAGGTGGAGTAGAAGTGGAGCAGCTGGGGATTCAAACTTATGCCAATAACAGGATGCCAACATCAACGCAGCGGTTTACCCACTACACCACAATGCCAGCCTCTATCGTATTCTTTATTGTCATAAAAAACTTACCACTGGTCATTGTCTTCCCTTAAGGTGCATTGTGTATATTGATTCTTAGGAAGAACGAGGAAAGGAATTTTCTTCTGCCTTTGAGAAGTAATATGTGCTTTTTATCCTTTGTAGGGTATGGAAAAATGAAATCAACAATACAAATACTTTCAGAGTTTTACCTCATCCTTCTTTTGTCTACACGGCTAAATTTCATCCAGCCACAAGAGAGTTGGTGGTTACAGGATGCTACGATTCTGTGATACGAATATGGCAAATTGATACAAGAGAAGATTCTGCCGTATTGATTCGACAGTTTGATGCTCACAAGAGTTTTATCAACTCTCTCTGTTTTGATCCTGAAGGTATGTGAAAACATGAGTGCTGCTGAAAGCTGGCTGCATGAAGAATTCCTGGTAGTTGTTTCATTTCTCTAGGACAATAACTAAGCTTGAGATGGATCTGAATATTGATGATTATATATCTTTGGATTTATGCTTATCTTATACATTGTGATAAATTTGGCAACAAATTATTTTTATTTTAAATTTATTAAATTTCTAACCTTTTACATTCAGTTCATTCTTGCTGTGACAACTAGATATGTATTTTCTTAATGAGCACAAATTTAACCCTCCACTGAATAAATAATTCAACAAACATTAACTGGACAAATCACTTTTCTTCAAGAGTGTAGTCAAGGCTACAAGCAGTAATCGAATCTCATAGTGTCCTTTTTGCTCATGTACAATACATATTTCTGTTGTCTATGTGTTAGTTACTGTGAATCAGGGAAAGCATGATATTTATTGTTTTGAGACTGAATTATTTCATAAAGAATAGTATCCAGTTGTATTCATTGGTTATAATAAGAAATATTTCATTCTTTTTTTTATTGCTGAATAGTATGAGTGTGTTTGTATGTGTATCTTAAATATGGCAATAGGACTTTGTTGAAAAATACAAAAACTAAGGCAAAGTTGCAGTTCTTTATATTAATAATAATTTAAAAGATGTATTGTTTAGATATAAAATATTGTATTGGAAGAATAAATTAGAGAAATTCAGAATGTCTGTTAAATAATCGCCTTTCACATTGTTTTAGTCCAGACATGTAAGCTGAGGGTATGATTAATTAATATAGGAACCATATCAAAATGATACTGTTGCTAATGTACCCAGTTTTACTACTGACTTGGAGACACATTCAGGAAGAGTCCTGAATGGAAAGGTGTCTAAAGCATTTTCATAATAGGATTAGCTTGGATCGTGATGGAGACCGAATTTCTTTAGGTGTTTGGCCATAAGAAAGGCAAATTTAGCATGCATGGAGGAAACTCACCCCAACAAGCCGAGATGGGGTCACAGCTACAGATGGCAGATTCTTTGCTCAGAATTAGGACATTCTCACAGAAGCAGCAACTCACCAGTTGAATAAACTATTTTGCAAAATATTAACTTCACAGTTGCTGAGCAGCCATCTGTTGGTAGTGCTGTGCAAGATATTCCTTAGTGAATATGAAATAGAATGTGATAGCATAAAGTCTCATTCAGCTTTAAGATCCTTTGACTCTAAAGAATAGTCGTAAAAGTATAGCATTTGTTATTTCTGTGGTTTCATTTTTTCTGATCACTTATTGAGTTCCTAATGAGTCTCAGGTGTTAGTACTTAGTCTGAAGTTAGTATATAATCTCTACTGTATATTAACAATGTAGACGCTTGGTATTTTCCGGCAATATGAAACAGACTATAGATTAATAATGGATACAAATTTATGCTTAATAATTCAAATAATTAGAATATGAGCTGCACACACCCGGAGGTGCTCATTTCTTTTGTCTGCAGATTCGAGTAAGTGACAAAGGATAATGAGTCATCAAAACTGATTTAAACGAAGGAAGCCCGTCATTGAAGAGAAGGGGGATTTGACTGACTGTGTTTGTCTTTTTGTCTTCTTTAAAAAGACATTGCCTCTTAATAACCCTCAGTTCTGTGCTCGCTTCGGCAGCATATATAATAACCCTCAGTTCTGTTTGGCTGGGATAGGATTTCCCCCGACTTCACCTGCATTTCTAACTTTGTGATGTATGTGTGTAACTTCTTTTTTAAACTAGGCCATCACATGTACACAGGAGACTGCACAGGAACGATTGTTGCTTGGGATACCTATGTCAAGGTGAACGACTTGCAGCATTCAGTGCGCCACTGGGCTGTAAATAAGGTAGAGTACGTTCTCTATTTTGTGATTTAATTAAAGAAATTGTGGGGAAAAAGCCCAACCACGTGAGTTTAGGATAGCACAGAATTCAGAATATTCTGTTCTCTCTGTTCAAAGGGGTGCTCTCTTCTGTTGTCTGAGTGCTGGCCTTGTGCTGTTGATGCATCCCAGGAAGGCAGCAGATGGAGGCTTCCATCCACAGAAGAGGCTCCTGGCTGTTATCTGACCCAGCACTGGCTCTTGTGGGCATTGGAGGAGTGAACTGGTAGCCTGAAAAATCTGTTTTCTCTGTGTTGATACAGTCTCTCTTTTTCTCTCTCTCTCTCAATCTCCATTTCAAATAAGATGAAAATAAGTAAATAAATATATAAGTATATATATGCATATATTCTTTAGACTTATTTTTGTTGGAAAGCAAAATACACAGAGAGGAAAGGAGACAGAGAGGAAGTCTTCTGTCTGTTAATTCACTCCCCAAGTGGCTGCAACGGCCAGAGCTGAGCCAATCTAAAGCCAGGAGCTTCTTCCGGGTCTCCCATGAGTGGGTGCTGGGTCCTAAGGTCTTGGGCCATCCTCAGCTGCTTTCCCAGGCCACAGGCAGGGAACTGGATGGGAAGCAGGGTTGCCAGGATTAGAACTGGTGCCCATATGAGATCCTGACTTGTGCAAGGCTAGGACTTTAGCCTCTACTGTGCCGGAGCCAATAAGTAAATCTATTTTTTTAACTACCAGTTTTTCTCAGTCCCTGAAAAGACAATTACCACTTTTTCTTTGTAACTAATTGGTAGTATAATAAATTAAGTAAATTTTTATTTGTTTTTGCTGAGTGTTATTTTTCTTCTTTTGAACTCAGTTTGTGCTGTGGCATTCCAGAATCCATTTTATGTCAATAATTATAACCCCTAGCTTACATTTTCTGTTATTCATTCCTTTTTTCTGTATATAAACAATATGATCCATGCTTTGCCAACAACGTTGCCCTGCAGGTTATGGAATTATAATGCGGCTCTATGATTAAGTCCCAATAATTATTTTATTTGAAATTTGCTAAGTAGGCAGAAGCAAATGAAAAAGCACTTTAATTTGTGGACAGAGTTTTCTTAAGGTGGTTTGCAATTTTGGTGGCATATGGTTTTTAATTTTTAGTTAAAAATGAATCATGAAATGTGAGTTCATTTTACACCTGTTGATGGAGTTTCTACTTAACATGTTGTACTTATGTTCTTCAGTTTTTCCTGTGATTATGACAACAGTTGCCTTCAGTTTTAGTGGGCTTTGGGCAAATTTACTGAGTCTTTAAAATCTGTTTAATGAATTCCATTTTTTACAAATACATTGTGGTCTGTTAGATTAGTTGATACCTTGGATTCATGATTGTAACCTAACTGAGCACACTTTGAAAGGAACTTTCAGATTCGTTGCCTGAAGGATTAGCAAGGCTTCAAAAACCTCAGTGTCAGTCATTTGAGACAGTAAAGCAAAATCCATTGTTTGCAATCAGAAATCACGTTTCTTTGCTTTAACATATTTGTAACTAAGGGACAGGTTTACCTTGTATGTTTTCCACCTCGTCATTACTTGAGACAGAAATGAGTATCTAGGAAGTGAGCTAGGATGCCTATTCAGTACCCAGTGCCTTGTGGCAAACCTGGGTAGTGTGGTCCTACCGTGGTGTAGCCTGCCGGCAGTGTGGGGAAAGCTGTACATATCTGCCCTTAAGGAGCAAGTGTTCATATACTGTTGGCACACTCCTTGGAACGGGATGCTGGCTTTCTAACAGGTTCTTTTTAATTTGAGCATGAATGTTGATCAAGAAAAATGTGGAGGAAATCGTCAGATACTGCAAACACAAGATCTGCCAGCAAATTGCTCAAATTTATGCCTGACACTTGGTGGGGAGTTTTATTTTTGATTTTGCACTTTTGCATCTGTTTCAGTTGCTCAGATCCCCAAGAGTGCTTCCCTAAATTGGTTTGTAGTTCAGCTCACTAAAATCCCCATCTGTGGTATCAGCGCCTCAGTGTTTCCTGTAACTTTTAAAAGATGCAGCTGCTAAGTGTCAGGTCTTACCATCAGACAGGGGGAGCTAGGAGTCCCGCTAGGTCTCCAGCTTTCTGGGCTGATGTCAACTCCCCTGTAAAGAGGCCCCTCTCTGGTCAGGGGTAGGCACCATGCTTCCCGCATAAGGCCCCCTCAATCACTGGATCTGGCCATACCAAAGGAACCAGAGTTGGAACTCCAAAGTCAGGAAATCTACAGCAGGCCAGTTTTGAATTTGATCATTTTTTCTGGCCCACAAGTGATGTTATAGACATCGAGATAGTCCTTGGCAGAAAAAAAGTTTCCCACCTCTGCCATAGGTATAAAGGGAGTGAAAAACTGTAAGGAACCTGCAAGGGAGAAGATGGCTAGTTCAGAATTCTGCCCACAGATTAAGGCGGATTTTCCACCGACTTTATACATTGGCCTACACAATTTTGTTTGTGCAGTTTTTTACTTTTTCATGATAATTCAAAAAATGACTTTTGATACTTCTTTAGTGTAAATAAGTAAATTTTATTATGTGCATTTAAGACATACAAAATGATCTTATTAAGGTTCTTATGAACAGTAAGATGAGTATAATGAAATATAGTAATATCCCCATCATATCACATGAATACCCTGTTTTTGTTTTTAGAGCAACAGCAAATAAAATCTATTAGTTGGGGCAGATCGTTGGGTGGCACAGCGGGTTAAACTACTGCTTGGGGCTCCCACATTGCATATTGGAGTGCCTGTGTCAAGTCCTGGCTACTCCGCTTCTGATCTAGCTCGTGCCTGATGTGCCTGGCAGGTAGTGGGTGATTGCCCAAGTTCTTGACTTCTCCCAACCCTGTGAAAAACCCTGAGGGAGTTTCTGCCTGCTGGCGTCTGTCTGGCCCAGCTCTGGTTGTTACAGGCATTTGGGGTGTTACCTAGTGATGGAAGATAGCTCTCCCTCACTCTCCCTCTGTGATTCTGCCTTTCAGATCAGCAAGTGATCTCAAAAAAACCATCCTGCTGTTTGAATCCCAAATATATAGCAGTTTTATTTCCTATGGTCTTAATGTTTCGAATTAGATCTCTGGACCTGTTCATTCTGCCTTTATACTCTGGCCTACATTTTTTTCCATTTCCTCTCCCTCCTGTTGTAACCGCTGTTGGCCACTGTCAAGATTTCTTTAGTGAAATATCTATTCAGATCTCTGCTCATATTTCAGTTTTTAAAAGTCAGAGTTTATTTTTCTACTACTGGGTTGTCTGAGGTAGTATATATTTTGGGTATTAACCCCCTACAGACTTACTGTTTATAATTTTTTCCCCATGTCATAGAGTCTCTCTCTCTCTTTGATTGTTTCTTTTGCAGTGCTGCCACTTTTTTACTTCAGCATAGCCCCATTTCTTTATTTTTACTGCTATGGCCTGAAATTTTGGTGTGATGTCCAATCATCTCCAAGGAGATTTTCCTTTTTGCTCTACGAGTTTTATAGTACGGGTCTTACGTGTGGAGCTTGTATCGGTTTAATCAATTTGGCAAGTTCCTCTTACACCAGGCTTGTGAAGGCAGATTCTGCTCAGGTTTTGTATCCTTCCTGACTTCCTTGGTTTAGGAACACCCTTATTGGCCCCAAATGGCTATCAACCCCTGCAAAGAAAACCCACCTGAAATTATCATCTAAAAGATTTCAGCGTATTTATATTGGAAGAATCACTTCCAACAATCTAACATTTTATTTTGACTGTGCTGTGGGAAAGTAAATGATATATAGGAATACATACAATTAAATACAGCATTATACGAAAATACAAAAATGTGTTCCAGCAGCATTATTTTCAACCCTGACCTAAAGGTGTTGGAATCCTTTTGCTAACAATTTTGAAGAATTCTCTGCAGAAAAAAATAAAAATGACATTTTAAAAAATAGTTATCTTTATTTGAAAGGTACAATTGCAGAGGGAATCACAGGTCCCATCCGCTGGTTCACTCCACACACAGCTGCCATGGCCAGGTATGGATGAGGCTGAAATCTGGTGCTGTTCATGGGTGGTGGAGGCCCAAACACGTGTCTTCCAGGCTGTGAGCAGGGAGCTGAATCGGAGTGCAGCAGCTGGCACTCAGACTATTGCCCACATTGTTGCTGGCGTCACAGGCAGTGTGTTAAACCACTGCACCACAAAATGTTCCGAAAATGGTATTTTAAATGTGATTTTATACTCTAAAGAAAATCTTAAAATCAGACAATTTCTCAACAGAAGTTTTTTATGTTCTTTTTTTTTAAATCATTTTAGGAAATTAAAGAAACTGAATTTAAAGGAATTCCAATAAGTTACTTGGAGGTTCATCCCAATGGAAAACGTTTATTAATCCATACCAAAGACAGTACTTTAAGGATTATGGATCTCCGAATGTAAGTATGTTTTAATTTTGATATTTACGTAACTACACATAGAGTAAGTAATGAATTAGTTGTATTTGTAAAGTGCAATAGGAGTTCTCAGCCAGACAATTTTGCTTACCTGGGATCAGCTGGAAAAATCTAGAAATGTTTTCATGTTAGGTCTGGTAGGTGATGGATAGAACTCTGATGGGGTATTGTTAAGCATCCTACAGCTCACTGGACAGTCCAGCCACAGACTGTTTCCTAGTTCAAAAATTAGACCAGCCCTGAGGCTGGCATGTTGTCCATTGCTTTTTTTTTTTAAGATTTACTTATTTTTTATTACAAAGTCAGACATACGGGGGGGTTGGGGGTCAGAGAGGAAGATCTTCCATCCAATGACTCACTCCCCAAGTGAGCCGCAACGGCCGATGCTATGCCGATCCAAAGCCAGGATCCAGAAACTTCTTCCAGGTCTCCCATGCGGGTGCAGGATCCCAAAGCTTTGGGCTATTCTGGACTGCTTTCCCAGGTCACAAGCAGGAAGCTGGATGGGAAGTGGAGCTGCTGGGATTAGAACCTGTGCCCATATGAGATCCCGGCACATTCAAGGCGATTACTTTAGCCGCTAGGCCACGCTGCCAGGCCCGTCCATTGCTTTTTTATTTTTAGAAATAAAAGACAAATTTACCTTTAACAGTAAAGACTTTTTTTCCCCCTGTGTTCCTGGTATATCATAATAAAATAATGTATAATATGCATTTTCCAGTATGGAGGCCCATTGTTCATGATTTGTTGTCAGGTGAAAACAAGATCAGTGTATTTAATGCCCTGTCTATAAAAGGCTATTGATGCACTTATCTGATTTATGGGAAGAACTGAACTCCTGTTAGTTTTTAGACCCGAGTGAAAAAGTCAGGAGATGGTATACACTAGTCACAGATGATCAGGCAATGATTTTATCTGTAATTTGTTCAGGGATCAGATAGTTCTTGTGTGATTTTTAAAATATATCAGATGGGCCCAGCGTGGTGGCCTAGTGGCTCAAGTCCTTTCCTTGCACACACCAGGATCCCATATGGGTACCAGGATCCCATATGGGTACCAGTTCTAATTCCGGGAGCCCTGCTTCCCATCCAGCTCCCTGACTGTGGCCTGGGAAAGCAGTAGAGGACAGCCCAAAGTCTTGGGGAACCTGAACCTGCGTGGGAGACCAGAAGCTCCTGCCTCAGGCCCAGCATGATCACATAGAGGTTAAGGTCCTTTGCTTGAATGTACTAGGATCCCATGTGGGTGCTGGTTCTAATCCCGGCAGCCCCGCTTCCCATCCAGCTCCCTGCTTGTGGCCTGGGAAAGCAGTTGAGGATGGCCCAGAGCATTGGGACCCTGCACCTATGTGGGAGACCCAGAAAGAAGTTACTGGCTCCTGGCTTCAGATCGGCACTGCCTCGGCCTTTGCGGCCACTTGGGGAGTGAATCATTGGATGGAAGATCTTCCTCTCTGTCTCTCCTCTCTCTGTATATCCGCCTTTCCAATAAAGAAAATAATAAAAATAAATCTTAAAAAAAAAAAAAAAAAGAGAGAGAAAGAAGCTCCTGGCTCCTGGCTCCTGGCTTCGGATCAGCTCAGCTGTGGCTTTTGCGGCTACTTAGGGAATGAATCATCAGACGGAAGACCTTCCTCTCTGTCTCTCCTCCTCTCTGTATATCTGACTTCCCAATAAAAATAAATAAATCTTTAAAAAAATAAAATACATCAGATGGGAGGAAATGCAAGGTTAGAAAAATTCTGTCCACTGTTTAGTAACCAACTCAAATGCTGCTTCCATAAGGTAACCTGTCTCCCTGCTTCCCTCTCTCGCTCCCCAACTCATCATTGATTTCTTTTATCTAAAGCCGCACGGTCCTTGTGGTGCTTTGGAAAGCCATCTTCTGTTTTACACTGATATATTGCTGCTTCTAAATTACAGGCTTACCGAGCACCAGGACTGTTCTGCCTTAGAATGGCTCCGTTTGAAACATTCTCCAAAGTGATTTGTTGAATGAGAATTTTTTTAAACAAGTTTTCTACCTTCTCAATTTTAAATGGTTACGATATCTTACATCTGAGAATACCTTTTGTTTATAGATTAGTAGCAAGGAAATTTGTCGGCGCAGCCAATTACCGGGAGAAGATCCACAGCACCTTGACACCGTGCGGCTCCTTTCTCTTTGCCGGAAGTGAGGACGGGGTGGTGTATGTGTGGGACCCCGAAACAGGTAAATCGTCACTGTTCTTCAGAAAGATTTTTCTAAGAGGAATAATGGTTTGAGGAGGTATGAACTGCCACTGAGGGAATACATTTCAAGGAAATCCATTTTAGAGTTGTCAGCTGTATTTTGTAATATTGAGAAGCTTTCCATGGAATTCACCTGTAGTTAAACTTGGGTTAAACTCCGTTTCTCATATTTTAATATTCTCATGCATGTGTAATTTCACATTAATATTCAAAATTGATGATTTCCTTTTTGATAGTGAGATACTGCTGATCTTAGAAAGTATTTAATGAAGACTGTACTGCAGAATACAGAATGTTATAAGCCACTCTTGGAACGTAACAGGATGGACAAGTGGTTGAACGTCTACATGCTGCTTTAATTAGTTACAGAAACATCTCTGTGAAAGTGTTTAGTGTCTGCTGCTCAACTAGCAATTTACCAGAATTACTGTGACTCACTTTTCTACCAATAAAATTAACTGTTAGAATAGAAAGTCCACTTTTGCCTCATCTTTGCCTTTCAAAGAAAAGCTAAAACTACATGAACATTTTTAAACAAGAAATTGAAGATTTATAAAATGTATTTTGAAATTTCCTTAGGAGCACTGTTTGATTTCACCTCCCTTACTCCTGTTTTTGTACTTGGGAAGTTTTGACCAGCCAGCTCACTTAGGGTTTTCCCCTCTACTGCATTGTTTGGGTTTTAAGTCAATTTGTTTACTTATTTGACAGATAGGTGTAGAGAGAGATGGCCCAACTGCTGGCTACCTCTTCCAAATGCCCGCAACAGCTGGCTCGGCCAGGCCCCATGTAACACCCGCCGGTCTTCCAAAGGGGTGGCAGAGAGTTGTGCCAACACTGCTGTTTGCCCAGGCACATCAGCAGGAAGTTGAATCTGAAGTGGAAAGGGCATTGCACTGTTGGCCCTCTGGTATGGGAGGTGGGTCTCTCCAGTAGCAGCTGAACCCTGCACTGTAATGCCTGCCCCTGAGCTGTGTTTTGATACTTTCACATCAGTTCAGCAACAAGAAATAACACTTTTGTGCTTCAGTAAATGAATGTAGATTCTTCACTGTTTTTGCTTCTGACACATTCCTCTGACATCCCGTAAGCAGCTGCTTCAACCATGTTCTAGCTTTACTTGTGGGTGTCTTTTAAGCATGTGTTACATCAGACAGCCTCTGGAATTAAAAAAAAAGGAAAATCACCAAATACCCTCTTCCTTCAAAGTTCCTATTTTCAAGTTCTGTGATTCCTCGCCTAATTCTGCTCAGAGTTTTTGCTAGCTAGAGTTTACCTGGCTCTGCCACATCTCAGCCAGCTCACCTCTCAGCTTCCTCCAGAAGCTCTTCTTTGTTTTCTGCCTTGATGTCCTCGTTGAGAGTTAAGACTCTAAGGTGGACTATGTCAGCCAGTGGATTCTAGAGAGATTTCCTCATACTTGGACTGGCTAGATTAGCAGTAATTCAGAACTGTTGAACTATTGAAACCTCTTGAGCAGGGCCCTCAGAGCAGGCTCCACATTGGGGACCTAAGATGGTTGGAAGGCTGGGTGTGGCTTCTCCCCTTATCTACTCCTTCCCCAGATATAGAAAGGAAAAAGAGAATGTGGAAATGGTGATCTCACCCACCTTGCTATAGCCCTTGACCCTCTTTTCACCCGAATCAACTGTGTAAAAATCATCAAAAGTAAAAATAATTTTTAAAAAGGCATAATGGGATGTGGTGTAACTGTGTAATAGGGACTGTCATTTCTGGACGTGAAGATACAATGCAGTGTACATCTCTACTTTCAAATCGAAGAAGGACTCCCAATGAAACTGATGGATATATCTTGACTATGATGCTGGCCTGTCTGCCATTGTCCATACCTGTAATGTCAGGACACACTTAAATAGCAGCGTGATGAACTTGGGACTGTTCATAAAGGACTGTATTATTGTAATAATATGGAGGGACCCAGAGGGGCAAAGGATTTGGGGAAGGGAAATCTCAGAGCCTGTGAAACTAAATCATAAAATTAAATTGCATTAAATTAAATAAATAAATAAAACACATAGGAGAAGGCGGGCCTGCCAATTGCAGAAAATTAGGTATTTAATCGAGTTGTACTAAAATATTTAGAAGTATTTAAGGCTTGTGGGTAAATGTGAGCTTCATTGTCACTATAATACTTTCTAATGAATTGCAGCATAGTGTTGTAATGAAAACTAGCTGGCACAACACACATTTTGAATCTCCTTTCTCATTTAGGAGAACAAGTTGCAGTGTATTCTGACCTGCCGTTCAAGGCACCAATTCGAGACATTTCATACCATCCTTTTGAAAATATGGTTGCTTTTTGTGCATTTGGGCAGAATGAGCCAATTCTTCTGTATATTTATGATTTCCATGGTAAGTCTACAGCTTGAAAAGTACAGAATATTCAGAGTAACATGTATGTGTAAACTCAATGAAAGGCCATTAGTTCTATAAATCTATCAACCTTTGTATTAACAAAGCTCTCTTGAATATACCGTAAGACTCAAATAGAGTAAACTGACTATATTACTGTAGTTATGGTGTAGCATGTTATTATTTTATGATGCTAATTACTATGGGCTGTAATTATCAGCCAATGGGACAATAATGTTTGTGCTATTGGAATCACAGAAAGGTAAGCATTACTTTCTTTATATATCCATTTAAATGGGTAACTATCACCTAAAATTATTTGGTAATATATTAACTAAATTTAAAACGTATTTTTTAAAGATTTATTTATTTTTATTGGAAAGGAGGATATACAGAGGAGGAGAGACAGAAAGGAAGATCTTACATCAGATGATTCACTCCCCAAGTGACTGCAACGGCTGGAGCTGAGCCAGTCCGAAGCTAAGAGCCAGGAGCTCTTCCAGGTCTCCCACGTGGGTGCAGGGTCCCAAGGACTTGGACCGTCCTTGACTGCTACACTATCACGCTGGACCCAATTTAAAATATTTTTGAGCCCAGCGCAGTAGCTTAGCAGCTAGAGTCTTCACCTTGCACATGCCAGCATCCCATATGGGCGCCAGTTCTAATCCTGGCAGCTCCATTTCCCATCCAGCTCCCTGTTTGTGGCCTGGGATAGCAGTCAAAAATGGCCTAAAGTCTTGTGACCCTGTACCCGTGTGGGGGACCCCGAGGAGGCTCCTGGCTCCTGGCTTTGGATCAATGCAGGTCTAACCATTGTGACCGCTTGGAAAGTGAATCATTGAATATAAGATCTTCCTCTCAGTCTCTCTTCCTTTCTGTATATATGGCTTTTCAATAAAAAAATAAATATTTTAAATATATGTACACATATTTTTACAAACTAGATAATTGAAATTTTTAATGTTTTAAGTCACCTAGGTAATTTCTTGTTCTGTTTTTCTGCTTTACAAAAGTGCTTAGTTTTTGTGTGATGTTTTGAAAGTATTCTGACATTCAAAGTTAGAATCAAATGCCAGTGAAAACAGGATCTGGAATTAGAAATCTGATTTCTCTTTCAATTCTGAATAATACAAAATAATGAGGAAGTAGCAGCTTTGGAAATGTTGTCCAGACACCCTGTGGTTTTCTAGCTACTATAGGGATTTATGCCCATTTTTATATATTTCTTTCATTTCTATTTTGAAGTTAGGATTTAATTGTTCATTATGTTATTGATGCTGTTATTTTCCAAGTTGTAATTCTTTGTCTTATTTGTGATTCTTGGGATGTTATTTATCATTATTGTTGATAAGCTAAAGTGGTATATGTAGTTTTGTTCATTTATAAATTCATACTATATAAGTATGCATACAAGTAACAATGTAGAACTTTGGGACAAATTGTTTAAATTAATGAGGCTTACATTTTTTTCGATTAGTATAAATCACATTGATTTAATGGTTGTGACAAGTGCTATTAGATAATTTTATAAATTTTTCATCATAGTATCACTTTTTTATAATAGTATTATATTGTGGATTTACAGATAAATTAAATTAGAAAATAATGTATAGAATTAAGATACATCTTAAGGTAATCTCCTACAACCATATTCACATTTGAAGAGCAGCATTAACTAATGGGGAAATTGTTCATCACCGTCAAGTTACTCTACAAGCGTTAACAGAAATAAACACTGCTTGATTATGGGAAAGGACTAATGGATTTCTCAAGTCAGTCAGTGTCCAAAACCGATGTGTGATTCTAGCATGTATCCTGAAATAGCTCTTTTTTCGTACACACTTCACCAAATGAAAAGAATTATACTTAAAATACTTCATCATTGCAGCTGTTGCACAGGAAATAGACAACGCATTGATTTCGTCAGACTTTTAAGAAGTTTCACAATAGTCTTCATTCAATTTATGATTTACTTTTTAGACTTTTGAAATTTTCACCACACATATACATTGAAGTCTTAATTCTTTACATGTTTTAGGCTCCGTGCTTTTATATTAGTTACTTTGTACTTGCCTTCCCAAAGCTCCATTTGTTTGTGAAAAAGTGAGTACCGGTGCCTGTCCTGCCTTGGAGAGCTGTTTGTGAGGTTACTATGAGTCAGAGCCTGTGAAAGTGCTTTGTAAATTAACAAGCACTGTATTAAAGCAAACAAAAGCTAAAAGAAGTTGTTGTTGTGCTCTCCCAACCAGTCCACACTTGACTTTATAGGAACTCGCGTTTTAATATGCAGATAAGCATCTCTGTGTGCAGTGGGATTTTAAAAAGTTGTTTTTTCCTTTCACTCTATTGGTTTACCCTTTCCTTTATTAATGTGTGCACCTTTCCAGACCTGTTGCATCAGAAAATGAGTACATCAAGTTTAGACCCTGATGCTATATGTCCATGCCATCTTATTAGAAGAAAAAGAAAGGATTTCCTTGGGTGTTTTATAAATTAAAATATTCAAATTGTACATGTATGAAATTAAAAATATTTTGTGCAGTGTATTCGGAACACAATTTCTGATATAGTAGAACAGTTAAACACAATAAACTTTAAAACATTTCAGTACATTTTCCCAGCTCTTCGCTGTTTGTTTTTCTTTTTAAAAATATATGCTTAATGTGTTTGAGAGCGTTCCAGAGAGACAGGAGAGACAAGACAAAGTTGTCCATCCTCTGATTGGATCAGGAGCTGAGCCAGTCTGAAGTCGGGAACTTCTTCCAGGTCACCCACGTGGGTGGAGGGGCCCAAGGACTTGAACAATCCGGTGCTGCTTTACCAGTCCGTAAGCAGGGACAGGGATGGGAACTGGAGCAGCCAGAGCATGAGCAGGTGCCCACATGGGATGCCAGTGCTGCAAGCAGAGGAATAGGCTTAGCCTACCATGTCTTTGTTTGTTTGCTTTTTTCAAAGAAAGTATGTTAGGAAGAAGTTAAGTAGCTAAAGATTTACTGAAGGTTTGCCATTCAAAACTTAGCATAGCTCTTGTCAGTGATACAAATCTGTGAGAAAATGAAGATAGTTTGCATCTCTAAAATATTTTACTGATTAAACATAGGCCAGATTCATCAAGTCATCTTTAGACTTTTCATTGAATATGCTCTATTATTAACCTGTTATAGTTTGGCCTTGTGTTTCATTTCTAGACAGCAGATTTTGACACAGATAAAATTGGGATGTAGCCTTATGTAAAATTTTTAATGCTATAAAATTCATAAGATACATACCAATTAAGTGACTTTGAAATAGTATTTATCAGAACTTGTGACAATTTTCAAGGAAAAATGGAGTAAGCTCCCTTTAAAAATAAATAAGTTTTTCGAATGAGACCACAGCAGTAGCTAAATGTATCAGCCGTCTTTCAGTTCCAGCAGAATCTGTGAAGAGTCAGCAGGCATCTCTCCCTGGTAAGCACATGGACAGGTTGTGGTCTTCTGGGTCTTTCATGCTACTGACTTTTTGCTTTTTTTGGTAAGAAATACAATTTTTACTTTCAGAAGGCAGTTTTATTTGCCTGATGTTGAAAGGTTAATCATATGGGAATACAAAATTTAGTCACAGAGCACCACAAATAATGTGCACTTAGGATTCCCATAATAATAGAATGCTAGTCACAGAAACGGCTTCTACTGAGTTAATGTTATGAAGCTCGGCTTTAGCAACCAGTGTTTTGCTTTAATCAGTATTTGTCCATGTCAGTATCGAATAGTATCCAGCAATAATACTGGCGTCACACTTCCTGTGCCTCCCATGCTGCTTCGAGCACTTTATATTGATTTATTTAAATTTTCACAATAATCTTATGATATAGGTACTATTTAGCATTAGGAGCCAGAACTTAAAAGCGTGCAGTCTGGGTGGAGTCCGTGACCTGTTTGCTATTACTTAAACTGCCTTTCAGGAGATCCCCTGAAATCCTAGCTGCGGTGTGTAATAAAGCTCTTTTTTTTCCCTTTCTTCCTACTTTACCATCTTTGTATGCTTCTCTGTGCCTTTGTCTTGCGTCTATATCTTTCATACTTAGAGGCAAAGATGGGGCTTGTTCATCTTTTTATTCTCAGTAGCTAACCTCAATGCTAACACATAATGAATATGCATGTGTGTTTTTTGTTGTTGTTGTGCTCAGCCTTATTTAGTAATCACAAGTAATGAGCCTAGTTGTTCACTAGGTGGCACTGTGTCCCCTAAACCGATGTTAACTGGAACATGATTTTCCGTGCTTAGGGTCTTAGTTACGCTAGACGCATCTTGAACACCTACCTGTAGAGTGCCTAGTGGGCTGGGTTGTAAAACCTAGGCATCGTCTCAGATGACTACGCTCTTTTCCAATCCTTTGTGCTTGCTGAGTGGTTTGATAAACCCCTGGAAGAACGAGTCAAACTGAAAAGTAATTTCTACCTCTGACATGATTTTATTAAAATCACTTGTCTTCATCAGTGGTCACCTATGTCACCACTGCTGAAAGCTTATTTTTAAGACACAGTGACTTGTTTTACCAGAGTTCAGGGCTACATGTTCCTTTAGGTTGTGATAAAATACTACTGCGTAACTTGTTCACTGACTAAAAGCCCATGGTGTTTGGAACATTCAAATTACTACATGTGCAAAAAATATTTGAACAAAGAATTCTAAGTCCTATAGAGCAGAATTTTTAACTTAAGCTTTGTTAAACCATAGAATGGAAGCCATCATCAGTTAGAGATTCTCGGCCTAAAACAATCAGTTGTAGAAGCAGGTGACACCTAACCGGAGTTTACTCAGCATCTGCCAGCTGAGCAACGCTGACACTTACCCTCCCGTCCAGTCTCTGGAACCCTGTGAGAACCCTGAGGTGGCACTGCTGTCCTCTTCACGGGAGGAAGCCGACACAGGGAACAAAGCAGTTCCCTGGTAGAGTGTACCATGTGCTGGCAGGCTGTCCATCACAGCTACGTGTGTAGTTTCCGTATTTCTGTGTC